AAGTCACATTCCAATTTGATGGGGTACACGTTATCCACAGCAATATAAAAAATGTCTAAGATATACTAGGGAAAACTAACAAAAAAAAAGCAACATTGAGCCGTATTCAATCTTCATAATGTCATAGGAAACATAAATGTATGTGTAAGATAAACTTTCCACCACACTTTCAATATTTGTCAGCCTAAATGTTAACACAAAGTGAATGCATACGAAATAATGAAGAATTAGGCATTATATATCGTATGGAATAACATTTCCGATAATGAAAAAAAACGATAAATCATTGTGTATTCAACACGAGAGAGAAAAATACCATATCATCACTGCTGACATTATACACTCAAAATGTGAAATGATTGATTCAACGTTGTGTAATGGGAAATTTGCAATGCATTACAACAATGAATTTTAAGTTTTGTCAGTAATTAGGGAAAGGTATTAATCATTTACAGGAGAGAAAAAGGATTGATTATTGCCAAAGAATATACATATACGTGGGTAACTAAAGTCAACACATGATATTTTTCAAACATTTAGTTTCCTTGGTAAATTTCGATGTATAAAAAGAAAGGGGACTGATAACGGGCAATGAGAAAAGAGGCACAAAATGGACTCACACAAAAAAGAACTTGAAGGATCTGCACTTCGCCCACCTATGATATATGTCTGATTTCCCACAAACTAGAAGATATGTAAGTGAAAAGTAACAAGTTGTCAGAAGAAGCATCAAAGATAGGACTTCAAGTGAACATAGATAAAACAGAGGTGATGAAGATTCCTGGCCAACACCACCAACAGCAACAACAACAACAGACGACAATCAGCCGGCATAAATGGGAGGAACCTGGAAGAAACAACCTCCTTTACCAACCGACCTGGGAAGCATCGTTTCAACTACAGGCGCACTTAACTGACGAGGATATCAAAGCCAGAATCGGAAAAGCAAGACAAGCTTTCATTACTCTTAAATCTGTGTGGAAGTCAACAGCACTCAGCATCAAAAATAAGATCCAGGTTTTCAACCCCAATGGAAAGTCAGTGCTACTCTCTATACGGATCAGAGACTTGGTGAGTCATAAAGAGCATCTGAAACAATCTTCAGACCTTCATCAACAGTTGTCTTCGCTAAATACTCAAGGTCAGATGGCCAGAAAAGATCAGCAACAAGAATCTCTGGCGATGAGCGAATCAACCAGGAACCGATTGTGAAACAAATAGGCAAGAAGAAATGGAGGTGGATTTGCCATACACTGAGGAAACCATCAAGTGACATCACACGCCAGGTCATTGCTCGAGTGGAACCCGAAAGGGAAGCGGCGAGTTAGTTGTTCGTCACTGCAAGGGTGAATTGGAGGAGGTCATGTGTAGAGGAGATGAAAGCGTGTGGGCAGACTTGGAGTGGGGTGAAAAAGCTAGCAGAAAACAGAAGGGAATTGAGGTGAGCAGCTCAAGCCCTATGTTCCTCTAGGAACTAATGTATATAATAATAATAAATAATAAAAAGAAAAAGAACTCATCAACTGCAGACTACCTGATATTACAATGTTCATAGCATAGTTTACTGTTAGAGTGGTAGGAGAGAGGAAACACCATTAAACTGACGCATCCAAAGTGCCAGGATAGGAATTTTTAATTAAAGTTTTCACCATCAGAAGAAAATTAACAAGGGGTGTTAACTTGTAGGTGCACACAGTAACCTAAAAAAACCAAAATCGGTTACATTGGATGGAGGATTTCATCATGAGTTGACATCATTTAGAGAACCATTGAGAAACCTGCCACAGGGAGTACTGGACAGCTGTTTGGTTAGCCTAGTTTGAGACTCCTCGTCAGCACGCATCCACTAAGAGGGTTCGAACCCAGAACCTTCTGGTTACAAGGCGAGCGTTGTCGTAGACCAGTAAGCCACTGGGACACAATCTAATGGCCAGTACATGAATTCTAACTTCTGCCAACTCATGACATAGCGCGACCACTTCGTAATATCTTAATCGATGAGTCACTGCCTCACACCCGACCTGCTACACCCTACGGGTCACGGCTTCCCACTAGAACCCTAGGTCACTGCCTGAATAAGGTCAGTCGCTAGTGAGCATCAGATTAATTTTGAAGTATTGATTGTGTAGGGATTTTGTTTGATTGGATGGAGAATTTCATCATGAGCTGACATCAGTTAAAGGACTACTCGGAAACCTCTAACTGATATCAGCTCATGACGAAATCCTCCATCCAATCAATTAAAATCCTTACAAAAACAATACTTGAAAAACCGATTACAGTATATAAGATTGAGATTTGCTCACTGAGTTGAGATCACTGAATTAGATGACTAATTAATGTAATCAAAGTTAAAATTCAGTTACCAAGGGAGTGAGAGAATAATCACACACTCTCTTTCTGTGTGCATAAGTATAGTGAAAGTCATTTGATTGCGATCGCTTTGGCCGATCGTAGTAAATTTGTTGTCATTTGTCTGTTTAATATTTAGAAATCTCTACGATATGTCAGGTATCCACAAGATGTCTGGTAATTGCACTTATGTTTGCTTCCTTTCAGGCACAATTTTCTTGGAATATGTTCAGAAAGGCAGGCAAAAGCCCTTATTTCCGTCCTTCTAATGTACTTGCTCCCCCAAGTTCACGTAAGTTCATAAACGCATTTGGAGATGACATCAGCAGGATATTTATCCAGTTTCGAGTGGCTTATAGAAGAAGTGATGCTGTATAATTTTATGAGTTTAGCTGCAGGGAAGCTTCTTTTTATTGCACCTTTCATTCCTTTGTCAATCTTTCACGGCGCTGCATCTCCCTTGAAAGTGAGACCAATAAACACTTTCTTCTTTTCTACAGTTGGGTGTTTTTCTTTCTTACCTTTTTCTCTTCTATACTTTTGTATAGATCCCTTTGAATGTTCACTTTCTCTTAGTTATTTCTCAACAAAACCTAATTCTTCCTTCAACTTGTTCGGTGAACATGGCTTCCTGTCTCTGTCATACAGTGTCTTTACTAATCCCCGCTTATGGCTAGTAGGACAGATACTGTTGTAGTGAAAATATTGTCCAGTCCAAGTTTCTTTTCTATAGGTGGACTTTTTGATCGTACCTTTGTTTGTTCTTTCTACATTTAGATCCAAGTAGTTGAACTCATTATTATGTTCATATTCCACAGTGGATTTGATGTTCAAATGGGGCTCATTGAGACGATCATGCAATGCCAATGCATGGTCAGGCAATGATTTCTGTCTCATATATCACTCGATGATTTAGTATTAATAGCTGAATTACGCTTCGAGAAGAATTTATTACTCATAATCACATCAAATTGCGTTTTATGGTTTCATGATTTTTCTTATATATATTTTTTCTCTTTTTCTGTCTATCCAACTTTCCTTCATTCAGATTGCACGTGTTGTGCGGTGTTGAATCGATAAGCAAAGATTCAGTGATTGACATCTCTCTCTCTATATCACCCTACTTAAATATATTATTTTTAATACTATCACCCTGTCTCATCCGCTCTATTTTGTGATTACATGTAACTGAATACAATGCAATGGCTGAGCTTTTTTCCGTGTTATTTAACTTATCCGGGTCAGTCATTCTACATGTAATTAAATGTTTGTTTTGCAATAGTCTAACTGACCCTGATCTGCTAGTATGACTGACCTATGTAATTGACCCCGCTTGCAGTCACTTACCACTTTTCTTAATTGGATCTATTAGCTCCTTGAGCCAACAAAGTTTATCTCTGAGTGAGTTTGTCGATCAGTTTAAATGTCATCTGAATTCCAAACTCATTGAGGATTACATACAGGGCCTCTGATATTCCTTCTTTATATGGCAATACTCTCGCCAACCATGCACATGGTCCGGGGTTCGAATCCCGGCCGACGCACTCCTCTACCTCGCCAAGCCAGAGATATAATGCTGGTAAAGAGGAAAGGTTGGGCATGAGGCTGGCTATCAACCCCATCGTGTAAAATAAACACTGCTACAGAAACTCCAAGCCTACAGATGCTTTGAATTCTTAATTATTTTTGTCATTTCTATTGTAAGTCTTTTATTTTTCCTACAGGTCCTCATACATTTCTGAGTAGATTCTGGTGAGTTAGTTAGTTAGTTATTCACTGATAATATTTTATCTATTTGTTTGATTTTGATTGTTTAAATCGTCTGGCTTACTAGCCAAGCCCCTGGTTCGATTACATGGACATTTAACTAAACCTGTCCTCCTCGATTCTGGATCCAGAAACTATCATCCAGCTATTAATACTGCATCAGTGTGTGATATTTGAAATATACCCATCTCATATGCAATAACATTCTAGTACCGTGCCCAACTTCTATACTTGTATTATTGATTTTTGTCCATGCTAACCAAGTATTGACTTGATCACGCTAAACATTTACTGAAGGCGTTGCAATCCAACAACTGTTGACATTAAACAAATTTCAAAGAATTAAAGTTCATTATTTTGGAATTTTTATGTTTACCTAATAAATATAAGAACACTCTAACCAATGTCAGCTCATGATGAAATCCTGGTGCCAATCAATTAAATCCCACAAAGTAATACTAGATTGAATATCGATGAGATGCCCTATTCAGGTAGATAGTTACCTGAGGTTCTCGTGGGAAGTCGTGACCACTAGGGTGCAGCAGGTCGAATGTGAAAACAAATACTCACCGGAAACATTGGTTAGCAGTCGCGCCATGTCATGAATTGACAGAAGTTAAAATTTATGCACTGGCCATTGGATCAGCCGGGTCCCAGTGGCTTAATGATCTACGAGCTAGCTAGCCTTGTAACCAGAAGGTCCTGGGTTCAAAGCCTCGTGCTGATGATGAGTAATAATAATAATAGCTTTATTCCAAAAACAGTACTCATGATACAGCAAGGAATTTTCAGCATTCAGTACAATATTGCATCTAATTTACTCAAAAACGACAAAAAAAAATAAAATTAAACAATACATAATAGTAATAAAACGATTGTTGTAGCAGCTACGTAGCAAAATACTGTGTGCCATACGGAGAAAAATATGTATAAAGTACAAAATTGTAGTAATAATAGTAATACCAACTAAAATAAAATAGCAGAGTAACGATTTAAACGATAGAAAGTGTGACACCATAAAATACAGAAAGATGAACGATAAAAGGGTCGATTCACTGTGCTAATTACATAGTAACTTGTAAGTTTCACGTCTAACAGAGTCTTCGTCACATAAAGTACGCGCTAAATAGGGTATTGTAGAATTTCTATACTTAGTAGTACGAGCATATATCTTTTTATATTGACTTCTCGTCCTACCTGATGAGATACAAGGGGACAGGTGTGAATAAAGGGGGTGCAGAGGGTCTGACATTATAGCCTTTGCCCATTTCGTACAGGAATTTATATGCCTCTCGACTATAGTATTAGCGAGCTCATGCAGTGGCAGACCACAAGCTCTACTCACAGCATTTAATACTCTTCGTAATATGATATAATCTTTTTTGAGCAGCCCAGGAAAGATTAATGGAGAGCAGTAGAGTACAATAGGTAAAATACAGGAGTTTAAAAATTGCAAAACTAAAGGTTGGTTGATACCTGATTGTCTTAACTTTTTAATGTAGAAGGTAAGACGAAACATTTTCTTAGAGATAGATAAGATATGGGATGACCATGAAAGGTCAGAGGAAAAAACTAATCCAAGGTATTTAATGCTTGATTTGGTTTCAATTTCCGTGCCATCTATGCTACAGGGATCATGCGAGTTAACTAGTTCAAGTAAGTCACGTCGATGCTTGAAAGTAAAGTCAAGCGCCTGACATTTGGAAGGATTTAATATAAGACCATTTGACTTGGACCAGTTGTTGATGTCCAACAGAAAGCTATTAAGTTTGGAGCTGTCAGACTCGGAAGTGATAGGCAGTGATACAGTCAGATCATCTGCATATTTGACAAAGTTAGTTTCGTTTGAATGAGGTAGGTCATGTAGGAAGAAAGAAAAAAGAAAAGGAGAGAGGACAGCACCTTGTGGAACACCGGATTTTGTAAGCGAGGTAGAAGAAGATTTGCCGTTATATACAGTATACTGCATTCTATCAGAAAAATAGGAATGCAACCAACTCTTAGCCCAGGATCCTGTTTGTGTCAACGATAGCTTATTTAATAAAAGGCCCCTAGGTACAGAGTCAAAAGCAGATGTGTAGTCTAAGAAAGCACTACGAACATATTTAGCACCTTTGTCTAAACAAGAGACAACATTGTGATATAAGACAACCGCAGCATCCAAGGTACTTCTACCATGTTTGTATGCAAATTGTTTAGGATCATTAAAAGGTTTCAAAGCGGGTTCAAGACGAAGTAAAAGTAATTTTTCCATCAATTTTAAAAAGGGGGAAGTAATTGCAATAGGCCGAAATTTAATATCAGAACCAGAAGATGGTTTTGGTATAGGGATAATTTTAATGTTTTTCCATGCAAAAGGTAGAACGTTACCGGAAAAAGAAGCATTAAAAATGTTAGTAAGAGGATAACACAAAATATCAGCACAATTCCTGAGGACAATGGCAGGTATGCCGTCAGGACCAAGGCTTTGAGAAGGCTTAAGAGACCGGAGACATTTAAGCACATCAAGGGTATTAAAACCACTAAAGTTATTGTCAATATGATTTGTATCATTTGGAAGGGTATCAACAGAAGAGCGTATGAAAGATTTATTAAGAGTGTCAACATTAAGAGATGGAACAGAAATACATCGCTTACCGTTAGTAATTTCTTTGAAAAGTTTCCATAAATTAGAAGGGGTTTTACATGACAAAAATCTTTGATTATATAAAACACTTAGTCTTTTTATTTCCAGTTTTATCAGCATGTTTAACTTTTTTACACCAGGCTTATCATTAGTTTTGAACAACAGTTCTTTATTTCTACGTAGCTTTTTGAGATATGGGGAAGATAAGCGATCAAATCGAATGAATAATGTTTCTTTAGGCCGAGTCTCAAACTCGGCTAACGAAACAGCTGTCCAGTACCCCCAGGTTTTCCAATGGTTCTCTAAGTGACGTCGGTTCATGATGAAATCCTGTAACCAAATATAAGAACAAACAGTTCAGCGAAGAGTCTCTGTTTACTCTCATATTCATGTCTAAATGGATATTTCTCGCGAGTCCAAATAAATTTTGAAAATAATGTAACAGTAATCGATAGCGATTAGCCTAAAATACATTATCTTGTCCCTGAAAATGACACCAGTGTCCACAGTTGCAATATAGAAGAACATCTAAGTAAATATATATATCTCACGATACAGTGTATTCTTTAATGTCCGGTTACAGACGCTGGGAAGGTTAAGTTCATAAAGAATGAACCTGATAATACCAACTAAAATTTCATACACAAATTCCAAGTTTCAAATTTGTACAGAGTTAGAATAAACATCAGTGCAGAATACTATGGATCCATTTTATCCTGTCAACGTTGACAACCATCCCTCATATGTAACCTACAGTTGAATGTATTGATTCACGTGTAATTACGGAAACAGTTGCATTGGGAGAACAGGAAATGATATATGTTAGACCTTTTGATTATGTACCGGAGAGGTTTCGATTAAAGGGACAGAATAGTTTACACTTATCAACTACGAGACACCTAATGGACAGAGGACACTGTGTAGAGGCACTAGAAGGATTCAGAATAATCAGTAGACAGCAAACGACTCGAGTATTCTTCTGTTTTCTGAGGGTATGGCGATAAAATAATTGAAAACTGACTCATATGTTCAAAAGGAATCGATTGTGGAAATTCAGTTACCCTGGTTACTCTCTTAATAGTTATTTTTTGTCTTCCGATTTCATCAATTTGTTTCCCCCACCCTATTTTTTGTTTGATTTACATGTCTGACCATGTCTATAGTCTTCCAATACTTCTCACTATATTGCATCAAATTTTCATTTGATTTTGTAAACACCAAGTTTTAATTTTACAATCTGAGTTCTAATTTCTCTATTTTGTTATCGCTGATTACATGGTTATCGTGCTGAGCAAATCGCAACTCTATGCACATTTGGGGATAGAAACATCCACCTTAACTTCAATGACGTCGAGAAGGCCTTCGATAAACAGCATTGACCGGCGTGCAATGCCTTGTATTTCTCTTTTCTCCTTTTATCTTTCTCACCCACACCTTTTGCGTCTCCCTACCGATTATTTGTGACCTTGACCTGTACACAATCTGACCTATAATGTAATTATTCATGCCTTCTTGCCTTCTATAAAAACTGTGCATGACATGTACGTGTGTGATTTGAATGTCCGAAATGTGTTGCACCAACACATTACATGTTTCAGATAAACTACATCTTCTTATTGTGTTGTCGAAATGCTTTAGTCATCATCAAACTCATACAACGGCTGGCTTCATAACAGTGCCACGTGTCAGGTGATCCACAGGGGAAAACTAATCAAAGCTATTCAAGTGAATACAAGAGTTAGACAAGGCTGTCAGCCTACTATCGCAAACGATATTCTTAGCTGCAGTAGACTGGATTATGCGTCCGCGTGCGCGTGGAAGCGAGAAGACAGGACTGACCAGAAGACTCCAGAAGATTTTGATTTAGCATGTATATGATTTATGTGTAATGTCACTCACACAAACTCTAAAACGTGCAGGCGAAAACCAGCAAACTGGCTGGAGAAGGTGGCGGCGAAGACAGGATTCCAGCTGAACATAGAGAAGATGGAGGCGATAAAGATAACCAAACACCCCCACTACTGAGAGCGACAGCAGCAATAACCAGCACCAGTCACCATCAACAGGAGAGATTCGACAGATCTTACTTGCCTCACTTATTATTCATCCAGGAAGCACGATTTCAAACACAGGCAATCAGAAATGATGGAGACATCAAATCCAGCCATGTCTTTTTTTGTCACGTCTTTTGACATCTAATGAAATCCACTCCGTTATATCACAACACACAGACAATCCCGGGACATCAATTCGACTGGGAAAACCAGCGTTCAAATGTTAGACAAAGAAAACACCAAGAATGTTAGACAATTTTTTAAAAGCCTGGCATTCCAGTGAATCATTAATCAATAGACATATTGAGATAGACAAAATTTATCAACCGATAAGAAAGAAACCACACATACAAAGGGTCAAAGTTCAAGTCAAATAAACAATCAGTTCCAATACAAGTAACCTATAAGGTGTGAAAACACACAAAAACAAGTAAGGAGTCATCTCCACCAGGAGAAATGATCAGTAAACAGGTGAAGAAATTTAAAAGCCTGGTAGGGCGATAAAGGCTTCGTAAATAAACTACAATCCAGCTCAGAGAAGACAACCCCATCAATATCATTTACCTGAGCTTCAAATCTTCTCCATCATATCTGAGATACCTATGCTTAATATTCTTGAATATGATTCCATATTAGATAAGTTTATTGTAATATTCACACAGTGATGATACAGTATTAACAAGTGAATGGTGTTTTGAGCATAAATTATTGTCACTCATAATTATATCAATTCAGTCACACAGTTTCATAATTTACTATGAGATTATATTCTATCACAGTGCTGAAGTTCTACACTTACATTCTTGTATATAAAGAAAATGGATATGTTGATCGAAGTTCACTTCATACCGTTTTATAATAATAATAATAATTTATGGAAGGAAAATGAGAAAGATGGTAAACGTCTGCTTGTGAATTTCTAATGTTGAGGCATAAAATCACCTAAAATTTATTATATATAGATACACATCTATAATCTGTGAGAATCCGCCGATAAGTTCCACAACAACTACACTGCCTATAAATCTTTCAGATATAAATGAATTTCACAGACAATATCAACTTATCGCTAAAGGGTTAAAACTCTTCTCTCTGGTTTTTTTTTCAATCCACCGCGTTTATAAAGACGCCAGTCATGGCAACAGTATTAATAAGTTAAAAGGTATTCCACATACATAGTCGACAACGTGTTAAACGACAAAAAAAACGGAAAAGAAATGAAAACCAAAAAAAAGAACATGCCAAATGGTGACTATGTACAACAAAAAACTCTAGACGATATGGGTGGCACTGAGATTAGATGATTATTGTGTTAGAAATATGACAAACAGGGAGTGTGAGAGAGAGAGAAAGTGAGAGAAATAAATAAATTTCTCTGGCGGTATCAAGATGATATTTCCGAAAAACCATTTTGCAATATAAACATGTGAGAAAAAGCTGATATTTTAAAACATTCCTTTTTAAATATTTTTTTAAAACATTTTAATGCGTTTATGCTAAACCGCTATCGCCATCATCAACACCTTTTAAGATTAAGAATAATGATCATATATCACCATAGTGGTAGTAGATATGGTTGCTGGATAAACTAGTCCGTTATCTATAACAGATAACATTTATATATGATCACATAGTCTTTCTTCCATATAGCATTCTACTAAAGGATTGTTTTATAACATGCAAAGATATGAAACAAAATTTGGCGTCTTTATTATCATTTTTTACAAAAAAGGAGATATTTTAACTAAAGGAATTAGTTTAATGTACTTTTACACATACTGTGAGGTAGATATCGTTTACATTCGCATAGAAATAAAGATGAGGAGAATTTAATTTATTCACCTTTAGGTGTCATATAATGAAGTTGTATTTCGTTTGTTGGTGTACACGTAGGTATGTATGTCATGTCGGTAGATAGGTAGGTAGGTAGATAGGTAAGTAGGTAGGTAGGTAGGTAGGTAGGCAGGTAGGAGATCATAATACCTGAGAGATAAAACGTTATCTTTTTCTTTGCATTTCGTTATTTTTATATAGGTGAGTGCCGAAATGCCATTCAAAATATGGCTTAAAAAGTTAAGGTGGGAGATGAGAAAAAAATGTCACTATTTGCAGGCTATTGGAATTTATGCCTTGGTTTATTTTAGCTTGCCTTTCTATTAGGTCATTTCATTTATATTTTTTGTTTAAATATCTGGGTGTATTATAGTTAGGAATGTGGATAACGGATGCATTTTTCTATCGCGCTACAGATTTGTAGATAGTTGTCGGAATCTATTAATTTTCAAGTATTGGTTTTGTAGAGATTTTTGTGTTTGATTGCCTTAAAGGATTTCATCATTAGCTGACATCAGTTAGAGAACCATTGGAAGACCAACATGAAATATTGGACAGCTGTTTCGTCCTAGTTTGGGACTCTGCAGCAGTACGCACACACTTCTGGTTACAAGGTGAGCGTTCTCGTAGACCAGTAAGCCACTGGGATCCAAATCAATGGCCAGTGCATAAATTCTAACTTCTGCCAACTCATGACATAGTACG